ATATGAAAAAAAAGTCTACCTCTAATCTTCCTTTATCTGTAGACATTTCACAGAAAGGTAATGAAAAAGGAAGAACAGCAACATTAGGTCTTGGCAATAGAGACGGATATTTGGAACCTTTACACAAAATACACCTGAAATTAGCAAAGACATTTTGTGATTAAAAAACTTAAAAACTGAAATTAAATTTAAAACAATTAATTCTATCTAAGTTAGCAAGCTTTCTAATTCTTATAATTTTAGAAAAGCGTCAAAATTTGGAATGCAAGGATTAAAACATGTAAAGTTGAATGCTGAGTGATAAAAAAAAAGAATGAAGGGAGGAAATAATTTAAAAAAAGACATACCTGATTTCTTGTTTGATTTCTGACAATCCAAGAACAAAATATGTATTGGATTTTGACTTCATCTAAAAGACAATTGACATTTAACATAAAACAGGATTATTAGAAAAGGTGGACAAAAGCTGAATGAAGACACTGACTATTCTTTATTATTCATTAAAAGATTTTTTTATGCATTTGTTACATGAAATAAATATTGGCATACGAATTTGCAGAGAAATAACTTGTAAACTGGAAATAAACTTTCTAAGGAAAGTTAAGAAGACTCACATTTTGAGGAATTTTGGTAGGTTGCTAAAAAGAGAAATCTTTTTCCATATACTTTTTTTACTACAGACACTAAGTCCCTAAGAACTACAATTACCAACTAAAAACTACTGACTTTGTTTTAATTCTTCCAAGTATAAAAAATTTAGTAGAATATTCATATGTTCAATATATATGTACAGTAGAACCCTGGGAATGCAGACCTCAGGAAACCAAAATTTCAATTATCCAAACATCTTTTTTTTAATTTTCTGAAAAGTTTTTGCTGAAAAATGAAGGAAAAATAACAGTTACGAATAAGAAACAAAGCTAATGTTTATTCCTAATTTAAAAGAAGTATTCTAATTGATCTTTATGAATGAATACAGCACCTTAATTAGTAGAAACAAACTTGGACATCTTCTTACCCTCAAATTGTTTGCCACTGTACTGTGTGAATCGCAGCATGCTCTTTCCCTACGCCTTCACAGAGCACCCAGAGTCAATACTCTACTGCATTTGGTATATCAAGAATATTTTACCGAATTTCACGGAATCTGAACAAAGGTCAGCCCCAATTAGTTCGGATTCCTGGGGTTCTACTGTATACATAAAATCAAGTAAATAAAACTAATTTGATTTTCTTGTTATTTTAGCCCAGTAAACAAAAAAAAAAAAAACTACATTTTACTAAACAAATTAAATGAACAATTTAGGCTTAATACTGCTGCCCCTTGTTTCATAAAACCCATTTCTGCCCATGCTTCACAAAGCAATTCTGGGAAACAGTATTTAAAAAAAAAAAAGTGATAGTAGCTGAAAGCAAGAAGATATTGCACTATCTCCATATGAGACAACTTTTAAAGGTTAAACATCTTACCATTCTTTATATTATTCCATTTAAAAGATTATAATTATTTTATTATAGTACACTTAAATAAAAAAAAGTGATCAATATAATAAAAACGCATTTACATTCGCAGTTGCATCTGCAATTGGTATCCACTTAACACCATAAGATGTACTCAGTAATGAAACTATTCCAGAGCTGTCCACAATACAAGGAGTGCCTTCATCAGTAAAGCTGAAAGATTAGTATAACACACAATTAAGGCGAAACTAAAAAAAAGCAAAACAAAAATACTCCAATTCAATAATAAAGATACAGCAAAATAAATATTACAAGCAAAGAAAAGCTTAACAATAAAATATAATATCAGTTATTAAAATCATTCACAGGTACACAACACATATGTTACCAGTACTTTAGCATTAGTGGAGCAGCACAAAAAAAAAACTGTTAACTGTGGCACAAACTGTTTAAACTGTAGCACAAATGTAGCTAGAATGGAAACTGCAATGGTATAGTATAAAAGAATTGCGAGATCATGAGAGAAAAGGAAATATGATTTCATTTGGTGCTTATTCAAACAAACTCTTTCCATATAGATCAGTCCATTGTCAGAAGAATTTGATACACTAGCTTCTTCACTGATTAATAATTACCAAAAGCTAAAACCATTGTGGTTGTTTTTTCAAACACTAATAAAAATTCAATAACAATGAGGAATAAAAAATGCTTCATCCAACAAACAAAAATTCTTAAAAGCACACATTTTGAAGCATAAAATTACTGTACTTGGCACAATCAGAATGCATTTTTGCTGCTGCCCAACAAACAGAAAAGTGCTTTTTATTATTTTCTATCTAGTACAATTATTTATACAAAAAGATATCCAAAAAAAACTATTAAACAAAAATAATGAACTCACCCAAGCCAGCTTAAAAATGCCTTTGAGCTAAGAGGCAGAAAGCATTCTTTCACACTGCTATGCCTTTCAAGATTAACTTTGACAATCATCATATTTAAACACTGGTCACCCTCAATACCTAAATTAGGAAATCAAGAAATTTATTCTTAATTTGGAATGGCAAACATCCATTTAAATCCATTTGTTCAGCATTATTTTGTTAAATTCTGTTTAAAGCCATTTTATGCTTAACCATTTATGCATTTCAAACAGAAGCAACAAATTTTTATTGGAAACTGAAAATGGCATTTTTACTCTTTATGAGCAATCCCAAATCAATAAAAACATCTCACTGAAAGTCTTCAAAAAAAATTTTTTTTTTCCATATACGACATTCATAATCATTTCTTATCTATCTCCCTACTGAAACATATATATGCTATTTTAACATCTTAGACAATACTTAAAAAATCCCACTCCATGACCAAAGTCGGGAGCAATGGTGCATGCACGTTGCTGTTAAAGAATAAAGGCAGGAAAAGGAAAGATGAAAAGCATGCACTTTAAATACTGCAAGAAAAACAGGGAGTCCCTGAATGCTTTAAAACCAGCTGAATCTGGACTCCAAGATAAGGAGGCAGTTATTCTTATATTAGAATTTAAGTAATTAAGAAATTAAGTTTATAAATTAAGAAGTTAAGCAGAGTTTTTAAAAATAGGAAAATTCTATATCATTATATATATTCCTCCCTCCTCTCATGTGTAGGCAAAAAAATTTTTGAGTTTTTCCTCATTCAAAATATTTATTCTTAATTGTATTAAATGAAAAACTACTATTAAATTATTAAAAATAGATATAACACCAAGATATAAAAGACAATTTTGCCAATAATTTTTATTAATTTAAGCATCTAATTTTTAATCTTTTATAAAGATTTTGTTCATTTATATTTGTTTACCTTTTAGTCAAAATAAAAGCATTTGTATATATTTAAGCTCCCCTTAAATGATAAAAAATCTGCCCATAATTCATGGAACCACTTAATTGCTGTTCCAGTCTGTTTGCCATTGACAGATTGCTTATTTAAATTTTTTTTAGTTTGCAAAATGCAATAAATTTAAAAGCCAGAGATTTAGACTGTACAAAAGACACCTTTTGTAGCCTCCAATTGTATGGTAAAGCTAGTGCTGTGCATGTTATGCATGTCTTTGTACATTTTTGGATATAAAGGGCTGAACACTTCTGCATAAATTCAGGTGATCACTCCTTCATAATTGCAGATAAGGATAATTGGATTCGGAGGATCCTACGCGAGCTAGTTCAAAATTTTTAGTTAAGGCATTTACATTAATTACAAAAACTAAAGCGAGTTTCTTAGTTCCATTAAAAAAAAATTCAAATTTTAAAACTGTCAAATTCTAATATGAAATGGAACCCAAATGCAATATCCTAATCTAAACAGCAATTATTCATTTGAAAAGAATTTTATTTTCAAAATTCCATCAAATGAAATATTTTTTTTTTATTTATACCTTGCTTTCATTAAAAATATCCATAAGAATGACTTAATTGGTAAAAATAAAATAATTCAACTTACCTAATCCTTTATGAAACACTATAAGCAACTGATTGCCTCTAGCTGCACAGGAAACAACAGATCCGGGTATCAGAAACACTTCACACTGAATTCCACTTATGGTATACAATCTCACAAATTTCTTGTCAGTAACACAAGCAGCAAATCCATCACCTAAAGTTATAGCCTATGGAGAAAAACTAAATTAAAAGTAAAATTCAAAGACTAATGAAGAAAATGTAATATCAAACATACATGTGATATTGTACATATTCATACATCATCAAAGAATATTAATTGGTCCTATGTGATCATTTAATTCTTTTACACATACAAAAATGTAGGATCTGAAAAATGTAATTTTTGTATATCCTTATTAAATTTATGTTGAATAAATACCAATAAAATAATTTAGAAATGAAGGGTTTTGTTTTTTTCTGAAGTTATGCATTTTTTTAAATGAACAGGGGGAAAAATCAGGAATAATAAAAAAAAATTATGAAGAGTAAAAAATGTTTTATATGTTAAAACTATAAGTTAAATTGATCTATAGATTAAGGTGACAAAACGTCCTCCTTTAAGGAAGGACAGTTCTCCTTTTGAGAGTTCTGCTCTTCCTCGAAAAGTGTACAATAAACGATGTTACAAATGTCTTTATAATGCATTTATCATATTATAGTTTATTCTGTATTATTGTTGCAATGAATTAAATGTTTCTTTTATTCATGATACTTTTTTGCTTCAATTTATTTGTGCCCTCCTTTTATTGGAGATTAAAAGTTGGTCATCCTAATACAAACATACATCTTTGAAAATTATGAAATCGATTTTATTTGAAAGTAAAACTTAAGATATTAAAAATACTGTCATGAAGATATAATAAATTACTAAATATAGTTTAACAATAATGTAGCTTTTTTTAGCTTGAAGCAGCATGTCCATAACTTGTGGGACTAGGCATTTATACACATACAGAATATTTGAGAACCATCAAAATAGAATGTTAAAGAGAGATTTAGAATTGCCCGTAGCAAAAATAAACAAATAATATTTTGAATTAAAATACAGGCACTTGGATTAAACTACCGTAGTTAGGATTCAAACCATGGACAAATGGATTTACAGTCCAGTACTCTATCAACTGAGCTACGGCAACCGCTTGCCATGTTGCTGTGCATGGCAATATCACAAAACAGAGAATTTGCTTGTCACATACATTAAAAATGCACATTTAACAAACAAATAAATATCATAATATGCATTGTTGAGAACCTAAACCAAGGAAAATCAAGACTGCCAACACTATAGAACTTACTTGCTTCAAGAAACTTTAGAAAGTTATGGTTATAGGGGTATACAATTTATTTTGAAAAAATCTTGTACCATAAGTCTTAAATGGTTAACAGCTTTTAGCTGGCAAAGATTTTTTCTGACAAACAACATACAAGTACATTCCAATTTCTTAATTGTATGATATTTTTATTATTATCATTATTATTATTTATGATACATGGCAGGAAAAAAATGTAACAAATTTTTAAAAACTAAAATTTTTCAGATTACTATAATATTTTCCAAAAATGTCTTCAATAAAAAAAAATGAGCGTATCTATTTACTTCATGTTTTATTTTTGGAGAACCCAAGTCATGAACATGAAAAGAATGGAAATCTTTTCACGCATATTTATCATTGTGTTTCCCTACTCAAACTTTGCATTGAGAAACAAAAAATTAACACAGTTTAAACATGCAGAGCTATAAAAATAAAATTATTTTTCCCATTAAGGACATTAAAACTAATTGAGAGAGTTAAAGAACACAGAAAAGCTGCTCATTTCCTTTCATCAGTAAGAACTTTTCCCAATCCTTTTAAAGACACCATAAATAAAATCTTTTACAACTAATATAGACAGTTGTTTCATAGGCTTTATTATAAGCCTTATGTAAATAAAATTCTCAGAACAGATAGATTCTAAAACCCAAATTTAAATCGTTTCCCACTAATGGTTTCTACCCAGCATTAAAAATTCATATCCTTTCCTGATGAATATGATAGTATATGATGGTAATATAAGGTATACTTAACTTTATTCTTAAGTTTACCTCATTTATTTCAAATGTGAAGCAGTTCTTGCATTATTTAACATCATAGTTATTCTTAAATTCTTTAATCTTCCAGGTGATTGGCCTGGTTTCTCCTACCCTCCTCCAATTGTTCATGTTGAGATCGAAACCAGTCAACTCATAATTATTCATATATTTTCTTGATAATCTTTACATAAAAAAATCCTTCATATCACAAATACACCTCGAATAAAATTTTAATATTTTAAAAGCTCACTGCTTTTACAAACAGAGACGAAAATAACAGGCATCAGAGGATTAACCCTTGATATTATCCTAAAAGTGAAAAAATGAATAATACCATCTAAAAATTTTATTCAAAAATAAAGGATACTTGTTTACCATTGATTTCTTATTATTGTATATCTTAGCAAGATCTCATAATCAAGATATTCAACTTTGATTACAATTTCAGATAACATTCCTTTTTATACGTAAAGTATAATCTGAACAATGCTTTAAAAGAAGAAAATAAGGAGGAAAAAATTATCAGTACATAAAAAATAAACTAGAAATATTTGTTTAAAAGAAAGTTACCTCTATTTCTTCATTCTCGGGCATTTCTACTATCCATTCCTTATTGGAATCCCATGTGCCAAAATGATGACATTCTAATTTGCTTTATAAAAAAAATTAAAATGAATTTATTATTTATACAAAACTATAAGGATGTATATAAAATTTTTGAAAAATAAATGCAATAAAACAATATTATAAAATAAACACAAAATATTTTTAAAAACAGTTCATTCCAAAACATGAATACAGAACAGAATATTTTTTATTAATTGCATTACATTATAAATCCAATTAATTGTTAAGGAGCTGATGAATAAATAAATCAAGCAACATTATAATTACAGTAAATAGTATTTAAACTGAAGAGACCAGTAAAAATTCACAACAATTACTGAGTGCAAAGAAAGTAATGCAGATTGGAATTCTTTTCAGATTTTATCTACCTTTAATGTTATGTTGTAGGAATTTTAAAATTCTGCTGTTTAAAATTTAAAAAATAGTAAAAAATTACATATATCATTCATTATTATTTTTATTACAATACACACTCTAATAATTGGTCCACTGAAGATATTACACACATTTATTTATCTATGTATGATCATGGATGCAGTTAAAAATTAATATGAATAGTTGATTAAAAAAAACTTTGAATTTTAAAATGGAATAATAAAATCATTCAAATAATAATTTCTAATTACAAAACGAAAAACACTATTGAATAATTTCATGTAATCCATAAACTTTAATCCAGTACTATTAAAATGGTAAAATTTTTACAAAATTATAAATTAAAAATAGTAACAAAGTAATAGTTATCAACTTCATTTCTTTTTATTTATTAGGGTTTTTTAAACTAAGCAGTTTCTGGAGAGCATAGGTGAACAGGGTGGCGAGGCCCTCCTATAATTTAATAAAAGACTAGCATACAATTCAATAAGGCATGATAAAATATGATTACATGCAATCTCATGCCTGGGGGGGGGGGAATCAAAAATAAACTTAATAAAACAGAATTAAATAGCAATACTAATAAAGTAATAAAACTAACAATATCTTATGGTGCAACAATCATTCAATTCTTTTCTTATTTTAAGAGTATACACAGAAATGTCACAGATTTTTTTTTTTTTCCCTGAAAAATTCATCACACAATTACATTCTATATATTACACTAGGAACCCCTTGAATAATAGGCTAAATTAATCCCTACTGAACATATAATACACAAAACTACATTCACAGAAAGTATGAGAAGAATTTTAATCAATGCTGCAAAGATAGTATTTTAAGCATCTCATTAAATTTTTTAAGTTAACCTTATCTAAATACTTCTTCATAACATGTTCACTCACATACTATAAGACATTAACTTAAAGAAATAAAACGAGTTAAAAAATATTTTTTTAAATCTCTATTTGATATCTAAACAATTATTTTTATAAATACTCTAATGTCAACTGAACAATGGTAAAAATTTTCTCTTTTCATTCATGATTTTACAATAACTTTTTTTCTCGTTTTTATTAAATGGCTTAGTTGACCAAGCCTGAGACTTTGCTTTAAGCTTTTTTGGTCATACCATTCCAATATAAATACTGTATAAATCAAATTAATGACCACAATTATTTTCTGCACTCAAATTAAATCCCCATGAGTCAAAACTTCACATGTCAAGGATTTTAAAGAAGTTTATATTACAAATACTAAAATTTACCTTGTACATTCATCTGATTTTGGTGAACCCAGAAGTAATGCTTCTGTTGACAAGGCTGCCAGTGTGTGATTACGTGTATTGTTTATATGCAAGGGATGATAGACATTGGCATCGTGAAATTCAACATCAATAGAATTCTCTTCTTCTGTGTCATAGCATCTAACTATGCCAACATTATTCCACAGCTGGAACATTTGAGAGAAAATAAAACATGAATGAACAGATGAAAATATAGCATCTATTTTAATTTGTGGTTATCACTTATTACAATATTTGCATGTGATCATATTGTCCTTTATGTGAGTTCAAATTGAATTTGAATAAATAGAGAAAGCTAATGCAAATTAAAATTAAATAAAATATCACAAAACTTTTTTATTGACAGTGAAAAATTTAAAAAAAAAAAAGCTGAATTTAACAAAATTGGCTATGGTATAATGAGGGTAAGTGTCACTCACGGTGTAATATATTTTCCCACCCTGTTTTGCCCCACTTTCAACATTTGGTCTCCATGGCACCCTAAGACTATAGACCGGAGCATCTATACCCCCTTGCTTTCCCCATCACTACATCACTGAAAAGAGGCTCTTTTATTGTGTTATATATGCTTTTTGTAGATAACACGAAAAGTGATCATTAACTTCACAGATGTAAAATTGAAAGAGAAATTAACATAAAAAACATTGTTCAAAAATTATTAGTTACTTGTCTATGGCATCGGCTGTACTTTTCCACAAATTTTCTTAACCTTCTGAATGAAGCACATAAAATTTCTAGATGCTTGTCATTTCTGCAATGTCTAACATCGATTAACAGTAGGGAGCACGTACTGCTAAGAAATTGTTCATGTTCTTTTGAAAAGGGACAAATATTCAGAGTAAATAAAATATATAAAGTAATTGAGGATAATTTCATTTTGGAGGGAAAAAAAATTTTAAGTATCATTAAATAAAATTATTAGAAATTGTTTCTAAGCACATACTACAATTTTATTTTTTAAAATGCTGCTTTAACTAATAATAACATCTGTATAAGAAAAGTTAGCAATTGTTGAATAATACAAATTTATTATCTTAGAATTATCATTACAAAATTTTCAGAAAAATGCTTAAATGAATCAGCAAGAGTTTTGAAACTGTAGCTCATGATAACTTTAGCAAACAAATCTTAGTGAAACACATCACTGGATTTCATTATTATGGCATGTGCTTTCAATATAAGTTATGAAAAAGAAATCTTCAAAACACATTTCTAATTTATTTATTTCAATAAATAAGTAAATAAAACAAAGGAATGAAAATTTGAAGACCAATTTTAGTTGCAATCTACTCGAGCTGCGCTCCCCTGTTAAATCAATCATATACAATAGTTGTTAAGTGAAACAGGACCCAAAATAATGGTTTATCAGATAAAGTGAAGCCCCTCAAAAATTTACATATACAAGGATGGATCCAAAAAAAAGGTTACAAGAGACATAAAAAATTATTAACATTAGACAGAAAATACAAAATGGAATTAAGAGGCATACTTTTCCACATAATCACCAAATCTATTTAAGCATTTATCTGAACACAACCAACTTTTTAACCTGGCTTCGTAGAAATCACGTCCATGCCCATTGAGCCAGTTCTCGGCAACTGCTTTCAAATCAGTGTTTGAAGAGAATCTTGTTCCAAATAAGTGTTTGGAACCCAGATTGGTTGCCAAATCTGGATGATATAAGGGGTGGCTCCAGACTTGCCATTTGAACTTTTGCAGCAATTCTTGAGTTTTGTGAGCAGCATGGGTATTGTC